CCATTTATATCAGGACCCGCCAAAATGAAATATTTAGGTATAAGTCTAACAAAAGTCATATAAGACCTGTATGAGGAAAACTACAAAACTTTGATGAATGAAATCAAAGAACACATAAATGGAAAGATACTCTGTTTTTGGATAGGAAGACTAAATATTGTCAACATGTCAGTTCTTCCCAACTTGATCTATAGATTCACTACAATCCCAATGACAATCCCAGCAAGTTATTTTATGGATATCGACAAACTGATTCTAAAGGTTAAATGGAGAGGCAAAGGACCCACAACAGCCAATAGAACATTGAAGAAGAAGGACAGGGACTGACACTACCCAACTTCAAGACTTACTATAAAACTACAGTTATCAAGATAGTGTTATACTGGCAAAAGAACAAACAAATAGATCAATGGAACAGAATAATGAGACCAGAAAGAGACCTTCAAAAAAACTGATCTTTGACAGAGGAGCAAAGACAGTCTTTAAAAAATGCTATAATAAGTAGACATCCACAGAACAACAACAAAATGCATCTAGATACAGACCTTTCCAAAAAATTAACTCAAGGGGCACCTGGGTGGCTTAGTCGTTAAGCGTCTGCCTTTGGCTCAGGTCATGATCCCAGGGTCCTGGGACTAAGCCCTGCATTGGGCTCCCTGCTCCATGGGAAGCCTGCTTCTCCCTCTCCCACTCCCCCTACTTGTGTTCCCTCTCTCACTGTGTCTCTCTCTGTCAAATAAATAAATAATATCTTTTAAAAAAAAAAAGTTAACTCAAAATGGGCCACAGACCTAAATATAAAAGAAAAAAAATCACAAATATTGTAGAAGACAACATAACCTAGAGGACCCTGGGTATTGCGATACCAACACCAAACACGCAATCTGTGAAAGAAATTCATTTAATGTTTGAATTAATCATTAGTGATGAACTTATTGAAATTAAAAACAACTGCTCTGTGAAAGACCATATCAAGAAGATGGAATATAAGCTATAGACCGAACAAAAATATTTGCAAAAGACACATCTGATAAAGGACTGTTATCCCAAATATACAGAGAACTCTTAAAGCTCAACAAGATAACAAACAATCCAATTGAAAAATGGGCCAAAGATCTCAACAGACAGCTCACCAAAGAAGATATACGATGGTGAATAAGCACATGAAAAATGCTGAATATCAGATGTCATCAGAGAAATGCAAATTAAAACGAGACTCCACTGCACATCTACCAGAACAGCCCACCCCAAAGCACTGATATCACCAAATGCTGGTGAGGATGTGGAGCAACAGGAACTCCACTCATTGTTGGTGGGAATGCAAAATGGTAGAGACACTTGAAGAGTTTGGTGTTTTCTTACAAAACTAAACATGCTTTTACCGTATCAGCCAGCAGTCATGCTCCTTGGTATTTATCCAAAGGAGCCACACACTATGTCCACACAAAAACCTGCACACAGATGTTTATAGTAGCTTTATTCTTAATTGTCAAAACTTGGAAGCAATCAAAGTGTCCTTCAATAGGTAAATGGACAAACTGTGGTACAGAAATATAGAGACAATAAAAATACTGGTGGTTTCCAAGGGACAGGTGGGGAGCACAGAGGATTTTTAGGGCAGTAAAAATGCTTTGTATATTATAATGATGGATAAATGTCATTATACCTTCCTCCCAACCCACAAAATGTTCAACACAGGAATGAATTCTAAGTAGACTATGGACTCTGGGTGACTGGGATGTGTCAATGTAGGTTTATCCTCAGCAACACATGTACTGTTCTGGTGAGTGATGCTGAGAATGGGGAGGCAAGGGATATGTGGAAACTTGTACCTTCCTATCAGTTTTGTTGTAAACCTAATACTGCTCTAAAAAAAATAAAATCTTTGGGGCACCTGGGTAGCTTGGTCAGTTGAGTGTCCAACTCTTGATTTCAGCTTGGATCATGATCTCGGTCATGATATCGAGCCCCACGTTGGGCTCAGCATGGAGTCTCCTTGGGATTCCCTCTCTCTCCCTCTACTTGCTCTTACTCTCTCTAAATAAATAAAATGTTTTAAAACTATATGCATGATGTATTTTACAATAACAATTTTTTTTTTTTAAGAGAGAGATCACAAGTAGGCAGAGAGGCAGGCAGAGAGACAGGGGGAAGCAGGCTCCCCGCTGAGCAGAGAGCCCGATGCAGGGCTCGATCCCAGGACCCTGAGATTATGACCGGAGCCAAAGGCAGCAGCCCAATCCACTGAGCCACCCAGGGGCCCCACAATAACAAATTTTTAATAAAGAGAAGGGTGTGGGGACTCCTGCCTTTGGCTCAGGTTGTGATCCCAGGGTCCTGGGATCCAGTTCTGCACAGGGCTCTTTGCTTGGCAAGGAGCATGCTTCTCTGCCTGCCTCTCCCCGACTTCTTATGCTCTCACTCTCTTTTTCTCTTACAAATAAACAAAATCTTTAAAAAAAAATAAAAATAATAAAATTTTAAAAAGGGTTTGGCCAACGATAACAAATGCTGTAAATACATCAAAAAGCTAAAGACTGAGAAATGACCTGAGATTTGGAAGCACAGAGACCTCGGCAGGAGTGGTTTTGAAAAAAAAAAAATGATCAAATACAGTATTTACACAAGGGGAAAAAAAACAAAGGTAACTAGAATAAGACAAAAGATGTGAATGTCCTTTATGTAGGAAAATATAAATATCTATCAAAACACATTAAGGAAACCTAGAGAAGTAGAGAAACGCATATTCTTTTTTTTTATTATTTAAATTCGAGTTAGTTCACGTATAGTGTATTACTAGTTTCAGGGGGGAAATTTAGTGGTTTATCAGATGCATAAAAGACCCAGTACTCATTCTATCAAGTCCCTTCCTTAATGCCTATCACCCAATTACCCCATCCACCCACCCATCTCCCCTCCAGGAGCCCTCAGTTTGTTGCCTAGAGTTAAGAGTCTCTTAGGGTTTGCCTCCCTCTCTGTTTTTATTTCATTTTTTCTTCTCTTCCCCTATGATCCCCTATGATTTTGTGAGATACACATCTTCTTGATTTGGCAATTTAATATTGTAAAGATCATTAACTGTTCCTGTATAGGTCTTATAAAATCAACCAATCAAATTCACATCAAAATCCCCAAATGTTTTTTTGTAGGATTTGTCAATCTGAAATTAGACTACATGGGGGTAAAAGCGGTCAAGAGTAGCCAGGGTGATTCCAAAGAATACTAAAATGCTCTCTACCATCACCCCTCCCCCCACTCTCTCTCTCTCTCTCACACACACACACACACACACACACACACACACAAATTTAAAAATGATTATAATACAGACAAATAGACCAACAGAATAGAACACCTTAAAACAAACTCAATTTTTTATATAAACCTAACAGGACAAATCTGGAATTGTCTATCAACAGAGAAAGGACAGAATATTCAACACTAAGATCCCTACCTTATTCCATCTACAAAAGTGAATTCCAGGTAAAGTTAAAGATGAAAAAAAAAAAATCTTTAGAAGTCACCATTATTCCATTGGGGCAGCATGGCACAAACTACTGATTGCCTACAACTTGTCTGTACCAATATTTTATAGATCTGAAGTTGAAAATTTCTAGAGCATCCATGTGGAAGAAACTCTGATACAAGGACATCTGTTACAATATACTTTGAACAGTGAAAAGATAGATATTATCCGGTCAACCTCAGCAAAAGATGGAAAAACATGTGGTTTAGTTGTATTATAAAATAGTTATACTGTAAATTTCAGATATTAAAATAAACTGCATATGTATCTAGATATGTACCTAGGTATGTAACAAAAACATGAATAAAAAACCAAGCTATAGGAACATTCCTTATACCATTTACTTAAAACTGTAAAAACACAAGAACACAGTACGTCATTTATAGATACAGGATATGCAGAAGTATAAAAAAAAAATCTACACTAAGAATTAACCTCTGGCAAGAGTGGAACAAGGAAAAGGACTTTAGCTGTACCTATACAGCATTTTTTATCCTTAAGAAAAGACATCTAAAACAACATGGCTAAACACTGACATAAATAAAATTAGAATGGGGGTGGATTTGCGTATCTGCTGTATTATTTCCTGCTTGAAATACTGCATAATTTTTAAAGTCTTAATTCCTTTTTTAAAATAGAAGAAAACCACCGTATGTTGGATTTTTACAGGGAACTCCCAGCTATCGGAGCACTGATGGTGAACCGCCCCACCTTCTCCTGCAGCCTTGTCCCTGGGATCCCCAAAGCTCATGCTCTGGGGATGACGGCCTTCACACCTGGCATGATGCCTAACAGTAGCAGCTGTGCCATCAGTATCTGACAAACAACTACACAGACCTCTGGACATGAACTTCTCCAACCTGCACATGATCAACTTGATACTATTCAATTATCGAAGGAACCCAATTTCTCATTTTTCTGATCCTGTTCCTTTACCACCAAACCACAGTTCCTTCTTTCTTGATGGTTTTGTCTAACTTCTTTTTTGTAGGGTTTCTGGTGCCCTTTACTGCTCCTCAGAGCCCTGACCGTATTTAGTCAACTTGGATTCTGCCTCCTTTATAAAAATTCTCCCCATATATTTGTGAAACTCATTCCTGACCTCATGCCAGTCTCTTCTGAAGGGCATCCAGACTGGTTTTAAATTCCCTTGACTCTTAAGGTGGTTTTTGCAACAGAGGTCTTCCTTTAATTCTGCTGACTTTTCTATTTCTTTCTGTGTGGATACAAACAGAATTTGAGATCATTTCCTGCAAACTTCTCATCTACCTTCAGAATCCAAAGTTACTGCTTCATGGAAGATGATTGAGCAGATTTTAGAATGGTAGGTATATAGTTCTGGGAATTCACACAACTAAATAAAGTGCCTCTTTGAAAAGGTGCCCTGCACGAGAGAGCATGATATAAGGTTAAAAATAAATGCTAGTCTAGTAAATTAAGAAATATAATGTGTACAAGTAGAAAAGATTCTCACATGAGTGGTCTGACGAGATGTTGTGTGGAACCAAAACAAAGTCATCCGTGTCACAAGAAGAGTTCTTGCTACTAGTACTGGCAGAATCTTTGGACACTTGTAGATAGTTGGGAGGACCCAATGGTGGGGAGGATAAGTTTTCTTCCTGAATATGCTGCATATCTGGAAGGGACTAAAATTAACAACATAAAATTAAAACTGGCCTAGTAATAAAATGCACGTCAGAATAGCCATTAGACTAAGGAATACTGTCTTCATAAAAGTGGGCATAAAGTTAATTCCATCTTAAAATTTTGGAAAAAAAAATCTCTTTGGCAAATCTTTCCCTTAGAAAAGCACAGTTTAAAGTGTCTTCATATAAAGACTTCTAAAATGTTTTCCAAAAATGATACTTAAAAATATATCATACCACTTATCACGTACACGTCTCCCTCTCCTGAAATTTCTGAGGTGTGTTCTCATCATCCCAACATGCCCAGTTTCGGCTCTTGGCCTAGCAAAGCAGGTACTCAAGAACTATTCACTCGATGACTAAAACACTATGTCCAGGGACTTTAGACTAATAACCTCCTGCACACATTTTAAAAAGTTTTAAACCTCCAGTGAAGAAAACATTATAAACAGGAAGGCAAGAGACCACGTTATGCAAAAAAGTAAATAAATCGATAAGGATAACTACGTTCAAGCCTAGACATTTATGTATGCTCACAGAAAGCAAGATCTGGAAAACCTTACAGGCTGTGGGTACATTCCTTTTGTTCTTCTTTTGTTAGGGGGAGGAGAGGGTTTGCAGGAGATAGGACAGGAAGGAAAGGAAAGCATATAAAATGTATATAAGCAAATACACAGATGTAAGCAGTTGTATATCCTGTGGCATTTGCCTAGTTCAAGGACTCAAGTGACACCTCTAATTAAATGTCTTGGTTACACAATGGTTTTCTGAAACAATGAACTTCCTAATTTATTGTGTTAAGTCCTCTATGACCTTGTTTAACCTTCGTTTCTATTTAAGAAAAGGAAAAATACTACACAATGCCCTTTGATCTTAAACCCATGTCCTAAACACCCAATTCACTGCTAGGGCTCCTTCGAATGTCACTGTGCAATGAAATATGTATCAGACCTCCTATCGTGTGTGTGTGTGTGTGTGTGTGTGTGTGTGTGACACATATGACATACAACCCCTCATCACTTTTTAAAGAGACCTTACGTGCCTAGGTAATAAAGGGAAGGGACAATGGAAAGACTACCATGGACTAGACACCGCTGGGTGCTGTCCATGTCTTACCTAACCCCAGTCCTGTTCTGAAACCCACGTCATACATGGATACAAACAGCTCAGAAGTTTAGGAAATTTGCCTGAGATCACACAGCTAAAAAGTACTCAAGCTGAGATGTGATTCCAAGCAACTAACTCCACAATTCCTTTCCAGTCCTTTAGGCAGGCACTTTCTCAAGTTCTTCCAAGCCTTCGTCAAACCGTCTGCAGCCACAGCATCTGAGTGGAAGGGATCTTCTCCTTGCTTGTCTCTCCACCCCACGCTCTAAGTCCAGTGCCCCCCTGACCTCCTCAGAGACCTGGACCAGCTCCCTCTGCCCCTGACAGTCTCACCCTCTTCCCTCTCCTCTGGTTTTCCTCCCCTCTGTGCATAAACACATTCCATTTTCTCACACCTCAAATCCCTGCGGTCCTCTTAATTACCGTCTTCTCTCACTTCTTTACTTTTTAGCAATGTTTCTCGAAATTATCAGTCTTCACTGACTCGAGCTCCTCACCTCCATGTATCGCTCAACCCACCATAACCCGCTTTCTGCCTTCTCCTGTGCAGTCACACGGTCTTCACCAGGCTGGGCAGGCTCCCCCCTGCCATGTCGTGTGACCCGCGCTCTGCTTCGCCCGCGCTGCAGACCACTCAACACTCTATCCCTTCGTTCAGTGAACCGGCTTCTCCTCCCACTTCTTAGTCTGTTCTGTGGGTGCCTACTTCTCTTTCGTCCCTTAAAGGAGAGAGATAGAGTGTGGAGTTCCCCAAGGTGCCACTCTGGACCCTCTACGCCTCACATTTTTTTAAAAATTCTGTTCAGTTAGCCGCTGCACCATATGTAATTAGCGTCTGATGCAGTGACTCACCGGTTACGTGGAACACCCAGCGCTCATCACGGCCCGCACTCCTCACATTTTTATACGCACTGCAGCGACCACTCTCACCCTCCAAGTACCCCCTCTCTTCTGCGGCCTAGATCTCTCCGGTGAGCACTAGACTAACTCACCACCTTTCTGCTCCAAAAGCGTTGCTCCCCGCACTCCCTGCCCAAGTGACTTCACCATCATCTATCCATTCGGTCTCCTGTTCAAGCAGCTCCAAACCTGGTGAACTCTACCTTTCTCTATCTGGCCCCCACCTTCCCTGTAGCTCAGGCCCTCATTCTCAGAAAAAGAAAAAACAAAACAAGAAAGGTGCAACAGTCTGCGGGGTTCTCCGTGCTCTAACGGAGAGACCACTCTACTCTCTACTGCTCTCAAGCCCCGGCTTCCACCCTGCGGTGGCTCACAGCACACCTCCACCTAAAAGCACTCGGACGGCTCCCACAGCCAAATCCCGTCAAGAGACAGCAGCTCCCTGCCTCTCTAGCTGCACCTGCCCCTCCGCTCACCACCAGTGCTCTGCGTCCCCCAGCCTGGACTGCTCCGAGGAGCCTTGTCCACAGAACTTCCAGCAATGATGGAGACGGTCTACATCTGAGTGCCCCGGTGTGCTGGTGACCTACTAGCCACAGACGGCTGAACACTTGAAATGTGGCTAGCCTGACTAAGGAACAAAATGTTAAATTTCACTTAATTGTAACAAATTTAAGTGGGCCCGGAGGGGCTCCAGGGTTCCTTCAGGGCATCATGCTTCCGGGACTTCATGAATGGGAATTCTTCTGCCTATAATACCATTCTTTTACTAATTCACCTTGCTAGGTCTTTCTTCAAAAGTCAGCTCAATGCCCTCCCCTGAGCAGCCTTCCTGAGTTCTTGGTCTGATTTCACGCTCCCCATTCATGTTCCCACAGGCAATAATGAGACACACACATAAGCTTCCAACAGTGGTTGCTTTATCTACCTTGTCCCCACACAACTAAATTAAAAGCTCCTTAATGTAAGGGACCTGGTCATATCATTCATTAGTATCAACCAAAACCTTACACAAACTAGGTGTTTAATAAATGTTATGAAACCAAGAAACATGATCTAAACAGCATTTAACCTATAGCCACTATCGTAACTAAAAGACTGATTTGCATTTTTTTTTCCCTTTCAAGATTTCTCTGGAATCAAGTAGCAGCTGGGTATTTGTGTGAGAATGTAAAAAGAGAATGTTGTATGTGCATGCCTGTGAGTATCAACCCTCCACACGAGTTTACTCCAGCCGTAGGAAAGAAGGGGAGGCATGCATAAAATCATCTTTTTTTTTTGGCAGTTAACATTAAAAGCAAGGCCTATTAAACCATCCCCTTTCTCACTATCTGGAAATTATACAGAAACATTCTGGATATCCTTTTACTCCTCAGCTTTCCTTTTTCCCTTTTTATTTTCATTTCAAGCTACTTTTTTTTTTTTTTGCCTTTTTTTTTTAAGTCAGCTCCACGCACAGTGTGGAGCCCCACATGGATCTTGAACTCACGACCCTGAGACCAAGCCCTGGGTTGAGATCAAGAGTTAGATGCTTTATGGACTGAGCCACCCAGGTGCCCAACCATTAGCTTTTAATAAAAGCCTTCTAAAAATGGTTTTCCCACCAAAGTTTCTAGCATCTAAATATGCTTCCTCTCTCCCCCTGGCATGTCCTCACCTCTCTTAGCACTCCATCTCTTGGCCAGCAGCCTGAGCGGAGCTCCAAGCACTCTCCCCTTCAATGCTGCCCCACCCAACAGAAAACCCCAACTGGCTCTCTCCAGTCAAAGCAATCTCCAATTCAATGAACCTCCTACCGGACCCCCTCTTTCTCATTCCTTGGTCATCCTACAAACCGGCTCCTCTCTTCTTGCTCTCTCCCACATCTTTCTCATAATTAGATTCTTCCCTGTGGTTCCTTTCTCAAGCATCAACTTCGCTTTTCACGTCTCACACCGCATCAAATATAGACTTCATAATAATAGCTACAGTTTATCAAGCACGCCTAAGGCTGCTGTTCACGAAGCCTACCTTACAGAGGAGGGGGCCCCGGCTCAGCGCTGGAGCTGAGCTGCTCCAGGTGAAGCATGAGCCAGCGGCCTGGCCAGCGCTGAAGCCGGATGGGCCTGGCCCCAAATAAAACGGTCTTTCCATGCCAGTACACTTCCTCCACGTTTCTCCCCACTCACTCCAAATCCAGTGTTTTCTAATATTCCAGACTGAAGCAGGAAATCCACAACACTTTTTTTCCCCTCTTAGCTTTTAAAAAAAAAATTTAGGGGAATATAATGTCTTATTAGCCCATCTTCTTTTTCTAACTAGGTTTAAGTCTGGAGGGTTAGGCCAAAAGGGTTTTCTTGCCGGTTTTCAGACTCGTCTGTTTGCGATCGGCTGCTTCAGCATCTGCCTTAGCCACGGGCTGTTAGGTTTTCCTTGAAAACAATAGTAACAGCAGTTGCCACTTACTAAGTATTGTGTACCAGACATTATAGTAAAGTGCTTTTGCTCATTTACGCTTAAAAGAACCTATGAAATAGGTCAATTACAGCTTTCCCTATGAGAAACAGGCTCAAAGAGATTACGTCATTTGTCCTGGTTAATGCCGCAAGTAAGGGGTGCAGAAGCTCCCAAGTCCCATGTTCTTAACCCTCTGAGGTGAACCCACTAATTACACAAACACTTCCTCTTATGACTGCCCCACCCTCCACCGGCAGAATTCAAGAAATTCACGTCTGCCAGGCTAATCTGGAAAACAGTCACCAGAGCTGACACGAGAGCACTTGGAACTTCAGCTGATGGGAAAGCCTCAAGGTCACAGCCCACAGCAAGGAGTGGGGGAAGGGTCGGAAGAGGGCAGAGTGAAACCCTGGCAGCACAGAGCAGAAACTCTCAGGATCTAGAAGCAGCACTTAGGCTGGAGGGAAGAGAGCCACAGAGAAAATGGCCTGGGAAGCCCAGGGGAGGGAGGCGGCTGGGGTGGAGCAAGTCCTGAAGGGCTGGGAACTGGCATTCAGGGAACTGAAGTCCGAGGAATGTGGCTCCAAGGTCACTCACCACCACTGGAAATTCTATGTACAATAAATATCCAGACTGATGCGATGATAGTTGGAGAAAATGAAGTTACTACCTCCCTGCCTCTGATGGGTACTCTGCAGCTGTCACGCTTTCCAACCCACGTGGCATGAGAAGTCGCGAGTACTATACTCGCTGTTGAGAGGAAAATGGCCCAGGGGGTGACATTTCTTGCTGAAGCTTACACAGCTACAGAGGGCAGAGTGCAAATCTAGGTCCACCTGACTCAACAATAATGTTCTCTGCCCAAAGCCCAGCAGTAGCACTGGAATGGGCATGTCAGACTGTAAGTTCTAGTAAACACTGCACGTCAGAAGGGAATCCACAATGTATCCCAGGCTCCCTTAGGGACAGAGGCAATAGCACTCACTCTGAAATTATAGCTAATAAAACCAAAACTTACTGGTGGAGAGGCAAAGCGACAGGATGGAGAGCTGCCACAGGAGCTCCCAGAGACGGAGCCAGCACACACGGGCACTGGAACTGGGCAGGCTGGGGGGAGAAACACAGGTGAAGAGAGATGTGCGCGCAGAGACTTACACAGCTCGTCTAAGAGAAAACCTGTCGAAACGACGACATCGCTGTGCTGACCAGATTCATTTACCTACTTATTACAGCTCCTGTGGGTAAAACTAAACCTGCAGCAATTACTACAACTATTTCAACTGGGACTTGGGGAAAAAAAACCTGGAATTCAATAAATAAAGCTCAATGAAATCTTGAGAAGCACAATCAAAAATTAATTTGTGACACAAAATACTAATTTTTCCTTAAGTCTGCCTTCACTCTTCAAGTAAAAATGCAAAAAAAAAGGGTACTCACATTTTTTCACTGGAACTTGTTCAAGAAAAGGATGGCTAAAAAATGCTTCTGTAATGAAAAAGGAGAACGCAACCCGTAAGCTCAGGTTGAGTAGCAGACAGGTTAATCTTGTTGACGTATTTAACAGTGTCGAGATCATAAATAATTATTATTAACTTCTTTATGGAGCCTCCATCTCCTTCCACTTTAGAAGCCTATGATTTTTATACATCATCTATAAAAATTATCAGATTATAAATAAATCTTAATCCACGAAAAATTTAAAATAATAATTGTGAGTTTTGCAAACACGTGTTACCAACGAGGCAGGCTCCACGAAAGAAAGCATGTGCGGGGACCTGCGCTGTCCTCCTGCGGGGGGCGGGGGGCTATGAGCAGACCCCCCGAAGTGTATACAGAAGCATGGCTGGGGTTAACTGTCCTAGAGGCAATCCAGGCAGCTGATTTATATAATAAATCCCATCCTTCTATCCCAGAAGAGATATTCCTACAGCTGGTTTCACAGTTTTTTAAAAATCTATAAGTCTGATTTAATTTCTTTGGCTGTCTACCATGGATAAAACCTACATGATAAGCCTGCTAATTAAAGGTAAATAAGTCAGTGAGGTCATGGCCGTTCATTATTTTACTTTAGCTTCCTGTGTGTTTAAAGTATTTCATTAATTCTTTAAAAACCCATAAAGCTAATCTCCTGTCCCAGACCTGTATGCTAGTAAATCTCACAGAGCAGGCAACGAGGGCAGCGTGACACCAGCATGGGGTTTAAATGAGGAGGTACGAGATCAGGAAAAGCTTAACTCAGAGTCAGTCTAGCGTATCTTCTACTCTGAAGGGCCCTGGGGGTCTTACTGAAATAAATCGCCAAAAGCCACTCAGTGTAAATATCAGTTACAAGACTTGCTAAGGAATAGAAATGTGCAGGGTTTTGAAAAAAAATATATTTTCTACCAGAGATCATTTTTGGAACAAAAATTACTATACATATACATAAACTCTAGTTTGACCTATAAGATTTTTAATGCTAACTTTTTTTTTTTAAGATTTTTATTTATTTATTTGACAAAGACCACAAGTAGGCAGAGAGGCAGGAAGAGAGAGAGGAGGAAGCAGGCTTCCTGCTGAGCAGAGAGCCCAACGTGGGGCTCGATCCCAGGACCCTGAGATCATGACCTGAGCTGAAGGCAGAGGCTTTAACCCACTGCGCCACTCAGGCGCCCCTTTAATGCTAATTTTTACAATGAACATCATAGGGATGAAACAGAATGCATTGAATGCAAATGCTCTGAAACCACATCCCAAATCCATTGCTACAGCAGGGAAAATATACAAATACTTAATATATAATCTAGTATTTTAAAACTATTATTGATGAGTATGTTGTTTCAGTATTGACCCCTATTTCTCATAGTTACAGAGCAACTCTCAATTTAATTTCTCCCCCTGAAAGATAAAAATATTTACCAAGTCCATGTGCTGAAATTTAGTTCCAACTTTACAAAACTTTAAGAAAATACATGTTCACACTGTTTCACCTTGTCCCCTATATGGAAACTTTCAGAGCTATTGTCTACTGGGGACATTTGCTAAGACAACAAACTGAGTGATTCATATACCAGTTGATTTAATCCTCACAAACTTAACACACAGGATTATCTTCCTTTTACGGACAAGGATAAAGCGCATAAAGGCCATGTATCTTCTCCGTCGTCAAAGCTAGCAAGCTGAGGGACTAGAATTCAAACCCTGGTCTGTCTTATCCAGGAACCTATATGGACTTCCATTAACACACATGAACAGACCAAAACTCTGGACTAAGGTTTTGCAAATCTCTACTAATATTACAACTAATTACTAAAGGAAAAAATCAAACACTTTTTTTTTTTTTCTTTCTAAAAATGTCAAGATCAAGGGTAATTTAAAAAGCATTTTCACTGAACATGTCTTAGGGCTTTTCTGGTCTGACATTTAAGTCGTGTTGTTTTTACATATGACTGCTAAGAGTAAGATCGAAAAGAACAATCTTTTACATGAGATTGATAAAAACAAGTTAACAAACTGCCCCCAAAGAGGAGCTGAGACCCAGATAATTTCAGGGGAAAATGTTCTTTCAAAGCCTTCCAAGAGTGGACAATCCCTACAGTATTAAGCATTCCTAGACTGTGTAAAGTTAAAATACTTAGAAATTTTTAGCTTTAGGGGCACCTGGGTGGCTCAGTGGATTAAAGCCTCTTCCTTTGGCTCAGGTCATGATCCCAGGGTCCTGGGATCGAGCCCCACATCAGGCTCTCTGCTCAGCAGTGAGCCTGCTTCCCCCCTCTCACTCTGCCTGCCTTTCTGCCTACTTGTGATCTCTCTCTGTCAAATAAATAAATAGAATCTTTAAAAAAAAAAAAAAGAAATTTTTAGCTTTAAATGATTGTATTATAAAAAGAAGAAGGGCTCAAGATCAGTGATACAGCTTTCGCCTTCAGAATGTAAAAATCTGAACTCATGGCCCTGCAGAGCACCCAGAGCCCATTCTCCCACAGCCCTCACACCACCGTGAAAACCAAACTGCCACGGAACGGCCCCTGCCTGTCTCCTAAAACCCCATCTTCGAGGCCAGGGACTTTCCACCAGGATTCTGGAGTGTTTCTCCTCCTTTGCCTCCTCCCAGATCTCCAAAATACATCCCCAGCCTAGACCTCTCCTCTGGACTCCAAGTGCCCTTTGGGCATCCACACCCCTCCGTTAAATGTGTGTCTTCAGTTTAACAGATCCCAGCTGAACCCCTGATTTGCCCCAGAGCCTGCTCCGGCCACAGAGCCTCAAGCATGTCTGTAACAAACAACTCGATTCCTTCACGCTCCCAGGCAGACACCCTGGAGGCAAATTTAAGTCTTCTCTCTCTCACACCCCACATCCAATTCATCTGTAAATACTACGGTCTCTACCTCCAAAAAGATGCAGAACTCAAGGGACTCCCCACCACTTCCATGGCTGTTATTCCAGCCTAAGTCCCTTCATCTCTCACTGGGGTAACTGCTGTAGTCCCCAGATTGGTCCCCGGGCTCCTGTCCACACAGCCCCGCTCCACAGTCTGTTGGCAATAAGCAACCAGAATGATCCTTTCTAAAACATTGGTCAGATCCTATACTCCTGAGCTCACACTCTCCCCATCACACTTTGAGCAAAAGCCCACGTCTTTAACTGGTCTTCTAACTGTTCCTCCAGCTGACACGGCACTCCCAGCCCTGGGCGTTTGTACTGGCTGTTCATTCCGCTGGCAAGCTCTTCCCACAGACGTGCACACCGCCCACTGTCTCACTACCCCGCTGTCCATCAATCAAGTCTTTATTCAAAGGCCACTTCCTCAGAAGGGGCTTCATGGAATTTAAACTTTCAATCCCTCCCCCATGGGCATTTCCCTTCCCTCTTCTTTCTCAGAGCACTTATCACCTTCTTTAGGGTGCGTTGATTAAACTTTACCCTTTGTTTGCCTCTCCTGCACGAGAATATGTGCTATGTGACGACAGGGATTTTCTTTATTATTTATTACTCCATCCCCTGTATCTAGAACATAGCGAGCACTAAATAAATATTTACAAAATAAGGGAAGAAAAAAGATGAAGAGAAAGAAAGAAACTGACTTGAATTTTCTCCTGAAAACTCTGTAGTATCTTTTTAAAAACAACTTTTGGGGGGATACACAAAAATCAAATTAGAAAGCACACAGAATTTGAAAGTATTACTTACCAAAGTCCATTCTATCTTTCTGGTTTCTCTGAAGCAAACCCAAGAGGAGATTAGCCAAGTAAGGTGATGTTTCTCTGGGAATACTGGGGGAAAGGAAGAAAAAGACTCTTAAGTGGTGAGTTTATATAGATTAAACACATGACTTTCGCCTTCACGATGGTAAGTGAAAATGTATATGTAGATTCACAAACACATCTTAAACCAAGAAGATCATGGTAAAGCCTCATTCCTTACAGAAAAAAAAGAAAACAAAAAACAAAACACTAAGCCACTGCCTTTGAGAACGGGCATCCATTTGGGAGGTTCCTGCATTGTGCTTATTGATATTATCTGAGTATGTGCAGGCATAAAGCACTTCAGAAGCACAATCAGCCTGGCACTCATATTTGCCAGAACTCTCTATTAGAAGAAGAGCCACCTCCCGTTGTCTGGAAAAGGGCACAGCTCCAATTCGAGTGAGCAATAATACAGCTTCCTAAAATCCACTAAGAAAAAGATAAACCAGTAGAAAAATGAGTAATAGGACCGTGCAATTCACAGAATAAAAACTACAAAAGGACATGAGACAAATGAAAGAGCACCAACTTTATTAGTAAAGAGAATAATGCAAATGTAAATTAAAAAGCCAATTGGTCCCCTTCTGTTTGTGAGGCACCTGCTGTGATAACATCCCATATTGGTGAAACCATGGGGAAACAAGCACTCTGTCATGGTGCTGCATTAGCTAATTGGGAGAGCATCCCTTGTGGTCTCCTAATTCCATGTCCAGGCGTCTATCCTAAAGAAATACACAGGAGTGTACACCAACACACACACACTTCACTAAACACTGTTTGGAGTAATCAAAAAATAAAAACAAGGATCTGATTAAACAAAATATGACACATTTAGCCATGGAACTCTATGAACCGTTTAAAAGAATGAAGTTGACGCTAACTGGTGTCTATGATACACTGTACAGTAAAAAAAAGTTGCAGAACAATTTGCCAAGTATGATGTAATTTGTACAAAACATGTACGTGTACATATCTACAGAAGGTACAGAGCCAGCCCATGTCATCCTGGAGAGCAGGGAAGACCGAGGGAGGGACTGACCGCCTAGTTCACGCACATCTGTTCTGTTTGTGTCTCCCTTCCCCCCAAGAACATATAAAACTTCTGTAGTTTTTTTTTTTTCCCTTTTAAATATACTTTACATTTTAAAAAAGAAAAAAAAATGGTACAGCACTATCCAGGCACCTATGATGCACCAGTAATTTTCGGATTTCTGGTTAAAATGGATGTTCTCCCATTACTGTCAACTGAAGAAAGATTCAAGACTGGAAACCGGTAACACGAGTTCAAATAATGCTGCATTCACAGACAATAAAACCCAGTGTAACCAAACACGTACCTAGGCATTAAGCTCCTGTTTTTTTCATAAAACATCCTGAGGTCTTGAGGACTATTGGCCTGTTTAAAAAAAAAAAACCAACAAGGTTTTATTCCCTAGACAATGGGGGCAGAAAGTTCAAATCACGTGATCCATGCTCAAATGCTTGCTCTAAAGCACATATTCTGAACCTGAAAGTCCTGGGTTGCAGAAGGGGCCACAGATGGGCACCAGGAACTTAAAAACCTCTAGAACTTTGTGCAAATTCTGCCTATCTGGACTTAGGGTATCTTTGCCGAGGTCAGCCTCCCAGAGGAGCCGAAACTTAGGAAGAGTTCAGAACCACTACTCTGGAGGTCACCCAGCCGGCCCAACACCTACATTTTTATTCTGTAAAATCAGGGTATGTTTTCTCTTAGGGCTGCCAAGGGCACAAGGAAGGGAAAGAAACAAACAGCTACCTCTCAGTCCCTCCTGGACAGCAGATGCCGCCCTCCCACACAGTAAGAGCTGCAGGATTAGTGGCGCCGCCCCCCATCCGCCCCTCCCGCTGACCCTCTGTACCCAAAGGGGCTGAGAGGGTAAGTGTCTAAACCAGGCGGGGCACTGATTTTACATCCTTTTTTACTCTGTTTACTCTGTTCCAGTTTTCAGGTTCAGAAAAACCTCTCTGTAACCGGGCAGTATGAACTCATCATGATTAGTTCTAGAGGGCCTCTTTCTGACAGGATGTGAGGGGAGTGGAGAAGAGGGAAGAATAACCCCAAATAATGTCCACCAAAACTAAACCATCAGCCTTCTCTCACCCAGCAGTGCCAGGACCAGAAAGCTGGAGGTGGTTTCCGCTCATCTTCCTAGACCAGGCCTAGCCCTCATGTGGAGTGCAGGGCCTCCCACACCCAGCTAAGCAGGAAGCGTGGAACATCCCTGTTCACACCACTTCCCACCAGGGTGTCAGTCCTGTCCCTGGCTAGTTGTCACCAGTCTGGGAAACATAAAGCGAGCTTTATGCCAAGGCCAATGACAAAGGGAAGGCAGATAAAAAAAGGAAAAGCAAAAGATGTTCTGGCTCACTTATAGCAGTTTCTGCCTGTAACAAAATCAAAACAAGTCACAAGGGAACCAAAAACACCGTTTTCAAAGTATTCCCTGTTTTCTAAGTCAAAGGCAACTGCGAAATGAGAAAATCCCAAAACTGAGCACAGAAATAAAAAGTCCAGGGGCGCCTGGGTGGCTCAGTGGGTTAAGCCGCTGCCTTCAGCTCAGGTCATGATCTCAGGGTCCTGGGATCGGGTCCCGCATCGGGCTCTCTGCTCGGTGGGGAGCCTGCTTCCCTCTCTCTCTCTGCCTGCCTCTCTGTCTACTTGTGATCTCTCTCTCTGTCAAATAAATAAATAAATAAAAATCTTTAGAAATAAAAAGTCCGGCTACCTGAAAAGGCGGTTTTCCAACTAGGCATTGATATATCACCGTTCCTATGCTCCACAGGTCTGCCTTAGCATCATAATGTTGAGACATAATAACTTCAGGAGCCTGGGGATAAAAACATACCAGACACATGCATGATGTTATTTATCTTACTAATATTGATAAATTAACTGGTAAAGTTCACGCTCCTAACAAATACTAAAATGAGATCACACTATGACACTTCCCTAATCAGGTGATCCTGCTGTGAGCTTAAACCATATTCGCACACTGGGATTTACCAGTAAATCTCAAAAACAACATTGCATGAAAAGAAGCAATTTATACAAACAAACATTTCTATGTATTATTATGGGACAGCAATGCAATAAGAGTATTAAATTATAATTAAAATACACACCAGCTACAACACAGAGGTGACTTCTGGGGTAGAAGAGTGGGATATGGGAAGAGGGAAAGATTTAAAGGACTTGGGCTGTTGCTGAAATATTTTACTTCTTTCTTGGGGAGAAAAAAGATCAAGGCACATATGGCAAAATGTTACCTTTGTTAAAAACGGACAATAAGTACACAAGTGTTTGCTGTATTACTCCCTGTTTTTCCGCTCATTTGAAAGCTTTTAAAATAATACACAAACTATGATGAAAATACAGTAAGGACGGTCTTAAAAGCAAAGGCATTTGTCTTCTCTGCTGCTTTGTTACAGCTCTTTTCCCACCTCTTACTGGATGCTGCTTCTTAAAAATGCCAGTAATCTGGACAAACATTAAACAGAAATGTCAAACACGCTCAAAGCCAGAGAAACTTTATTTTCCAGGAGTACCATTTTTAGCTGTCATCCCTGGTAAGCTTCTCACTGACTTAGATCAGAGGAAATCCTTACTGAACATAAGCCCATTTTACATTTAGAACTGAGACAGGTACATGCATTTACTTGGCAGAATTCTGAAACTCCAGAATTAAGCTACTTCCAGGCCTGATGCTTCCCACTGGTCCGGAATTTTCATAGCCTTCCCTTTTCAGACATGACAACATCCGTACGGAAGGATGAAGACGGAACTACAATTTTTCAGCTTTACCTCTAACACTAACTGAAAAATCTTCTATGACCCAGGGATCTTGTCAAGAGAAACAACATGAAAAGATGAGCATGTCCACCCTAAAGATGAAGAAATGCCCAAGAGGGTTTTTTCTGTTGTTGTTGTTTTCCCTAATATCACACACCAAGTACAGCATGACCATGCTTCATCAATCTGTATTTTCAATTTACTCTAACAAGGAATTTTTTTTACCACTAATAACTAATTTTTTTAAAAACTTAAGCTAAAAGAACTCCATGCTGGGTGTGGAGCCTACTTAAAAAAAACAAAACAAAACAAAACAAAAAACAGCTAATGGGTAAAAGTGACCTTTATAGTCCACTATTTTAAAGCGACTTAAAGCATTATCAGTAATACAATCACTGTTAGTAATACAGCAATTTAGGCTACACATAAAATCACACCTGAACTAGAAACCAGCATCATACTTAAAATCCCAGTGCTAATGGCACCATATACAGGCAAGGACAAAAAAACTCACTCACCATGTACATTGGGGACCCACACAGTGTTGCAGCCATCATGTTACTCTGCAGGTAACGGGCAAACCCAAAATCCGCTAGTCCACAAAATAAAAGGGAGAAAAACAAAACATACATTTACTCACACTTCACATAGATCACACCTTCAAGACACAAGAGAGCACAAAGGAATTGTCAGAAATTTGCAGCTTATTGGGTAAGCCTGCCTACCAAGGAAGAAAATTTCTACCTCAGTTTCAACAAGCTAAGAACCGGTAGTGATCACCAACTGTACAAGTCCCTACTCTGCCAGTTTCGTACTCAGGGAGCGAGCACCAAGCTTCGTGAGAGAAAACGCTAATTGCAATAAATGACTCATTAATACTGCTCTAAGTATGAGTGCCAGGTGGAGAATTAGTACTTCTTCTTTTCCCTTCTCCAGATCCAGATGTAAAATACATAAAATCAGAAACTTCCTTATTTTTTTAAAGATTTTATTTATTTATTTGAGAGAGAGAGAGAGAGAGAACCAGCTGGGAGAGGGGCAGAGGGAGAGGGAGAAGCAGACTCCCGGCTGAGCAGGAAGCCCAGCACGGGGCTCCCTCCTTGGACCCCAGGATCATGACCCGAGCCAAAGGCAGACGCCCAACCAACTGAGCCACGCAGGTACCTCCGGAAATTTCTTTCCATACTGGTTAAAAAAAAAAATTCTAACCACACAAAGAAAAGCTTAAAAAATACCTTGGATTACAAACTGCTTCAAATAATTGTTTAAAAAAAAAAAAAGGAAAGAAAGTTTGATCTAAATGGTGTCTTAGATCCCTTGTGTTACAATTCCATGAGCTGTGAAGGGCCCGGGTTCTTCAAATGCATCTACGACGACCGTACATCAGCTTCCCGCTGATGAGAAGCAGGACAGCGTTTGGTGGGGAGCTGTGTTTGGAGTTCCTAACATGGGACCCTCGGTTCTGAGACTAAGGGTAGGCTGCCAGTAATGTACAGGGTTCCCATATCCAAATGCACCTTGCTGAGCTCAATAAAAATTTCAAAACTGCATCAACAAAACCCATCATTCCAACAAAGTTGAGTTAAATTTTCTAAAACTACAGAGTCTCAACGCTGTCCTTTGCATCAAACACTACATAGCCATTTACCTATTTTGATGCGAATACCACTGACGGTGGATTTTCTGCGATTCGCATATGACAGCAAGATGTTCTGGGGTTTGAGATCCCTGTGGATTATTCCTTTGCTGTGCAGAATCCGCATGGCAGCTGCGATCTGATGCAGAAACACCCTAATAGTATCTTCACTGAGAGTTCCTTTAGCTGGTAGAAAAGGAATCGCATAAATATTTAAGCACACAAAATCAAATACCATCTGCATCTCCCATCAACAGAATCAAGTTAAGAACAGAGAGGGAATGAGGAACCGGGAGTCACATTTTTTTTTCTGTTTTACTCTAATAATTTAAGTGTATGAAAAGATAGCAGACACCTTGAACGTTTCACTCGATTTGTTGTAAAGAGAACTGATTTAATTTGCATCTCTTGTTTTCGCTGGTGTTTTTCTTTCCCCCCATTTTTACCGGTGAAGGTGCCCACGAGACTCTAAGCACAACAGGTACCCTGCAAATGGGAGGCGCCTCGGCAAACTAAAATAGAAGTGCCCCCTTGTTATCAGCCAACAGTCTGGGAGAAACGTCCAGATTTCATTCCGGGCATTATGTGAGCACAAATTAAAAGCAGGTGGGGTCAATGAATGGAGACTGGGACCTTTTTCCACCACTTGTAGCTGTGAGGGGTCTGCGTTCCCACAGGGCTCTCCCTCGTCTTCCCTGCTGCAACACTCCTGTCCCATCACAGTATCTCTCATCACTAGGCACCTTTAAGAAGGAACACTTCTACTTGTTTTCAGTACTATAGAGAGACGGTATGGATGTTACTGGAGGGTAGTCATAAGACAGTGGCCACTCCAGTGTGTCTGTGTGTATGCCGGGGCATACATTATGTTAACAGCTCGATCGGGAGTCAGGCAGCCTCTCTCCAAATCCCAGCTCCTCCACCTCCTCACTGCGTGACCCTGGACGATGAACCCTCTGGGCCTACTTCCTCATCTAGAAAAGCTGGAAACAGACTAACCCATGGTGGTGTTGTAACAGTCAAACAAGATAGCACCTTTAGTAATGAAGATTTTAGAAAAAGCCTGGCACAGAGTAACTATTCAAACATAGTACACAAAGATAAACTTCTTATTACCATGGATCTAAAAGTCACAAGTGTGATTCCTTGAATCTACATTAGGGATTTAATATCCATGACCCTCCCTACTAAATCATTTGTGAACATACTTCTGTATGTGAACATACAACTCTAGAATATGATCTACATAAACTTTCCATATGCAATTAAGAAGATAAAAATAATGTTATACTTGGGACAAATGAAATGTTTTAAGATCATTTTAGACATATAATGACATTTTATGTCCTTAACATCTTCAAATAAGGTAAGTCCCCATGGTTTATAAATAGTTTTTTCTGTTTTACTTTTTTTTTTTTTTTTTATCCTTTGGGGCTCTTTTCTTGATGTTCACTGAAAACAAAAAGAAATATAAATACACTAAAATACATAAAAAGTGGTATCTTCCATATGCCATCCCTTGGAAATAAGCACTGCTAAAAATATGGAGCGTATTCTTCCAGATCTTAGTGGGTGGGTCAAACCAATGATTAGATCTTTATTTTTGTAATGTTTTACTTAAGTTACTTTGCAAAAATTAGAATGAACAGTTTTCCATTTCATTCATTTACGTTTTCATTCTAGGGCTACTTTAAATGACTGCAGCTGCTCGAACTTGAATTTTTGCCTCATTACATACAATTGAGTATACTTAAAATTTATTTGCTTCAGAGTCCAGATTCTAGCACTGTTCTTGGGGGAGGGGGATGAGTGATCTAGTTTAAGCTGTTTTTGAACACAAACTATAGTAAACATTCACATAGTTCTATGAACATGGAATGCATACTTCTCAACACAACCCCATAAACTGAATTTTGCATGTTAAAAACTAAGTATTTCAAAGGCATGGCCAACATCAAAACTATTCCAAATAAATAAATTCTTGAGCAAGTTAGCCCAGAGGGAGGAGACTCAGCACAGCTGCCACACTCAATGAATCCTGCCAGAATGCATGTTAAAGTACGACTTGCTAATTAATTTAAAATGTTTTTAACTTACAACCCACAGAATCTGCTTTCTGGCTTTTGAAAATGTGAATGGCATTTTACTTATCAAAGCAAATTTTCTAGTAGCCACATTTTAAAAACTAAGAAGAAACAGGTTTACATAACATATATCTAATCTAATACACCCAAAACAATTTCACTTGTAATCAACATAAAATCCTCAGTGAGATATCACTGCTTTCTTCCTTGAAATGTTCAAAATCAAATACATTCACATTTGCACATTGTCTTCGGACTAGCCCACACTTTAAGAGCTCTGTAGCCCCATGAGGTTGGTGGCTATCTTACTGGGTGGTTTAACTCTGGAAAATTCCTTGAGGTCTGGATTTCTTTTCTATGTCTTTACAAGTGTTTTCAAACAACAAGGGATTCCTTTAAGGACTGTGGCAGAGAGGGACCAGGGAGCGGTTCAAGGACTTGGGCAAAACCAAAGCAGTCAAGCGCTGTGAAGGGGGCCCTGCTGTAAACAAGCTTGTCTGACTCCAACACTCAAGCTCGTGAAGGCCTCACTCACGGGTCTCCTGTTCCAACACTCCTGCTCTGTAATATCAAATAGGAGCTCAACATAACACAGGAAACTGCTGCGGAAGCTAACCTAAGTCTGCAACACCAGCAGCAGTGCCTGCATCAGCGAGGAGGACTTCTGTTACTGAGGGAAACTGACACTCTAATGAGGGCACCAAACTGATAGGGAGCCACTCAATCTGACCCGGGTGGAAGGTGCTTTTACCCGGATCACTGAGAACGGCAAGGAACTCGAGATTCTCTGACTCGGCAAGCAGAAGCAGGGTGTTTTCAAGCTTGAACTTCTTTCTGCCAATGGTCAATGAAAGTGCCTGTCTCACCGCATTCTATCTACTAGCAACTGACATTTGGGGGAGATAGATAGATATATATATATATAAAATAAGGATTAAAAAAAAAGAATCTTAGTTGGAAAAAACACAAAACTACACATGCAATAAACTCCCAAATTCAAGGTAAGGGAGTAAGGACAGGAGTGGGACTAGGGAAGGACTCAGGCAGGGCTTCCACTATTTGTAAGTTTTTTTTTAAATGGGGGCAGGGATACCAATTTCCTTCTTTCATTCCTTTCCTTCTTCTCCTTCCTTTCCTTCCTTCCTTCAGTCACTCACTCCCTCCTCTCCTTCCGCAACAATCAGCCAAAAACCAAGCTTCCAAACACTGTCTCTGTCCCCAGTGCCTCCCTAAGGCGTGCTGGCTCCGGAGGGGTCCTGCCGCTCTTGCTCAGCTACTGCGAAGGGCCCACAGCGGGCAGGGCAGGCGGCACTGGCCCAGGTAAGCAGGAGCCACGGAGCATCGGTCCCCTCAGGGCAGGAGCGCGCGGGACCAGATGGGGTCTCTGCTCCCCTCAGGGCTGCCTCTCGCCCATCAGGACGAACAGGACTCCCGCTCTGCTCCTTCTTCGAGGTGGCAGTTGCGGTGCCCAGCCAGCCAGCTGATGTATGCGGGCCGCGGGAGCTCTGCTGGTGGTGGACCGTGTGGTGTCCATGGTCGTCGGCGTCCCCTATGCACCCAGGCCCGCCGCCACCATGGGCTGCAAGGAGCTTGGCGCCCAGGGGCCACCTCACCCACCACTGCACCAAGCAGGCACAGGGGCAACACTCCCAGGGCTCTTCCTATTAATCTTTGTGCAGCTTTTGAAAGTCAGTGATGTTTCATATTTCAAAGATTTTTCAAAGCTCACTTTCAGTTGCACTCCGTAATTACTAGGTGAAATTGAACATTTTAATCATGTTCTCATAAACTGTCCACACCCTTTGTAAGTCTTAAGGTCACCATCAACCACCATGACCAGTTTGGAGGTTGAGATTTTTTTGCATATTTCCCTTGCATTTGAAGGGATCAACAGCTAGCCTCATATAACACAATTTTAAACATACTTGTGCGAGACAGACACAATTTGATCTGAATGCCTTATATCCATCCTGCCCATACACATTCTGGATACAGAATTTCAAGCACATCTAGTACTAAAATCTTACCTCTGCCACGAAAAATTTCAATGTTACTTTTAACTAATCCTTTGTAACTTTTTAATTTACAAGAAAGATTCACATTGATAAACACATTCTTGGGTATATTTTTTGCATTGTGATTTTTTTTTTTTTTTTTTGAAAGAAATGAAAGGGACTAAAGGTTCACTGCTGGCAACACAGGAGAGTCTCTTGAAGATGAGAACCATCTGGTCTTTTTCTCTCTTGGGGAGAGGACCCATCTCTCCAACAGTATCAGAGAGAGGGAAGCACTTATCCACAAGTTTAGGAATAAAACCACAATAAACAACATTTGGTCAGCAAAGTAATCACACTTAAACAGATACACAAATATTTATTGAACATTTCTGTACAAGTGCAGAAAACAGGGTCAGCATTATTTTGAAAGTAACTCTGAGGATTCAACAGACCACAGCACTATCTTTATTGAACACTGACAGACAAAAATTACCTTGCAAATAATCTGCCAGGTCTCCACCATTGCAGTACTGATACATAAAAGAAAAGATAATTACAATAAGGAAACTGACTCAAGATTAATTCAAATCATGATCAGCTAATTTTAATTAAAAATAGTTTCTATATAATGTAAATCTAGCCTGAAAAATCACAAATTATGGTATAAAGATTTTAAATTATATATTCCTTATAAAGTAGAATCTAAGTCACTAAATGGACTTTATTAATTCAAAATTTCAAATAACAATCTACTGTCCACTTTAAAGTACATATTAACCAGTAGGAATTTGAAGTAAATTAAACAGCACATATACTACCTACCTCCATCACCAGAAAGACAGAGTTGGGTAATTCCTGAAAAGTAAACATTAAATAGAATTTAGAGAAAGAATGAAGCACAAATTTTAAAAAATAATGGCAGTTAATAAAAATACTATACTTATTCATTATTTAACAAGTAAAATAAAATCATAAAATCTATTAATAAGTGAAATTTAAAATCCCAACACAATAATTTAAGCATCCCAACTTCAAAGCCAAGCCAAGTTTTGATGACACTAATATAGTCATTTTGTTCAATTCTGTTTATGGAAAGAACTAAAGAAAGATTCATTGTTTGGTCATAGCTATGGTAAATTTGTGGGGGGCAGGAAGGAGTCTCTGCTCCTCAGAAAAGCACTTCCACTTTGGAAAGTTTACGTTTTGAGCAATGATTGCATAATCCTATCTAGCAATGCTAAATGCACAATCTGATTTCTGGAATACATGACCCAGGATGATTATGTTTTTGTTTTTCTGATTCTTATGTTTATTTGGAAGCAATCACATTATCTGGGAATTGTTGGCAAAGGAAAGACATTTATTTCCTCACATGTCTTGGTAACAGACTGATTTTTAAGGAACTGATTTCAGAAATTTTACTACATCTCTCAAAGTCATATACTATATGATATCCAGATCCGTTGCCTGGGTAATTCACAGACTGGCTTCTTGATTGTTCAATAATAATTTTTACAGTGTTAATTAAATTTTAAATTGTGCTTCCTATAGCCTAACTGGAGAGAGTGTTCAAATGTGATTCAAGATATAGCCCTTCCCAAAAGCACTTGGCTTCACTTATATCCTAAATGTAAGAATGAGGAGTTCTGGCAGAGGATAAGAGGAGAGGTAAGGCAGTATCCCTCAGAGTGTAGTTCAAGAACCAGCGCCAATCAGGGAATTATTTGGTACTAGCCCACATGAGATAATTATAGAAACTAAACATAAGAAATTTTAAAAGGCTTAAAGCAATTTAACAAAATAATTTTATGTCTGCTAAACCTAATAATCAAAACTTTGGACAGCTGTTTGTAGGTCTTTCTTAACTTCATTTTTACAACTATTTGTTTTTATTGGATTTTATCAATAAAGTTATCAGGTCACACTAACTGGAAATAAAAACTGGCATCTCAGTGCTTCTAGTCTAGAGCAACGAGAAGCCATACAGGGACGGCCACAGAGTGGTTTCACGGAGTTCGCCAAGGGTCTGGATGCCACAAGTCAAGAGCTAAATTACGTTCTGCAAGAAACTCTGTGACTTGGGATGATTTACTTCACTTAATTCTCCAGAGGACTAGACAAAAAATTCAAACACACTGTACCCAATTCTTTGAGCCCCAGCCCCCGCCGCCCTCACACGGAGGCATTTGGAAGTTGAGAAGAATGGCAGCGCCTTCTGCTCTGTGCTGGGGAACCAGGAACCACAGTCCTGCCCAAGCGGGATCACACCCAGCATGGAGAGCCAAGACGAAAGCCTGAAACAGACAGCTGGTTTCCTTAAACAGCAGCACTCCCATGAGCAGGAAGGAAGTGGAGAGCCGTCAGCTCCCAGCAGGCCAGAAAAGCAAGTCTGCAAGAAATACTTATTTCCTTTTATCATAAACAAAAACAAAAATACATTTCTAATTTAGCTAAATCATGTTTATGGTGAATCGGTCTATGTTTAGCCATCTAACCTGATCAAATCCATAACAAAATGCCTTACCATCCCTAAAAATACTGCGATCTCATTAAACCACAGTCTTCATCTCCCTAAGTAGGAAGTACAAAAATAATATCTCAAATCAGTATTGCTTTACCATACAATAGCACCACATCCTAACTACTGAAGACAAGAGACAACTAGGAATTCCTTAGGGAGGGCTAACTGTTGACTCCACACGAAGACAGGGAAAGAAATATTTTAACATCCTTGATGTCTCATGCAAGTCTTCTCTTGCCCACATTTAAAGCCATACAAACCTCCAAAGGTTCGATCATTTTCTCTTGAACACCCCCCTCCATTACAAAATGGCACACATGTTTTATGCGAAGCACATAAGACATCTGGAGCACGAGTAAGCTCCGAGAGCCAGGAAAGAGTCCGCAAAAAGAGCAAACAGACACTTAGGGTGTCTGCGGACAAACTGAAATGCCGATGGTAGTCAGGAACTAGGGTGGGACTCGAAGAGGTACTTGGAGGGTCAGAAAGGCCAAGAAACGAGGCCAACGGGCCTGTGAGCCAGACTACGGAGGGTATCCCAAAGCTGAACACACATCTGATCTCCTGGACTAAAACTCAGGAAATCCTCATCCTCAACTCCTCCCCGGGGAACTTCCATCCACAGAATTAAACACAATGAATGTCAATTTATCATTTCCCTACTCAAACTCCTTAATAAGATAGAAAATCCCTAAGAAGGAAAAAAAAAAAAAAAAGCAAGGCATTATTATGAAGAACTCTATGCCAGAATACAAAAATTTAGATGAAACAATTTAAAACACCATTTGTTCAACTAAAAACACAATCCTCAGGATTATTCTCCTTGGGTTTACATTGTATTAGCCAGCCTGAGAGCATCCTATGAGTAAGCCGGCTTGGGTTATCATCTCCCTTTACCAAGGGGGTGGTGTTTATAAATAAAAAATAAAGTCTTTTGAAGGACGCACAACAGTGGGTTTTTTCTGGAAAAAGAAATAAAGGGAGCTATCAGCAGAGGGCATCTCTTTTTTACTTTATATACTGCTAGACTACTTAAATTGTTTTTCCACCAAGGGCCTATTACTTCTGTAATTTGAAAGAACAATAAAGACAAAGTGAATTTAAAAACCAGATGGCATGACTAGGTGCTCTTTCCAGCAGAATTCAGATGCTCAGGATCAGAAAGGGAGAAACTAAAGTAACAAAACAATTCAGTAAAGAGCATGAGAAAAATTGAAAGCAAAGTCTGGACTCCCGACACCCACCCCTCACCATTTGTCTGATACTCTTCCTGATTCATTCTCCACCCCTTAGGTGACTCCTATGGGTTACTCGTAAAAGAAGAAAGAAAATCCTTGTAACCTCCTAAGGGATGAGAGATTAAGGGCTCTTTTGTTACGTTAATCAGGTGACCTTCGGAAAGCGCCCAGGTCACCTAAGGGTGGCCTTTCCTGTCCACTTGCATGTACCGACCAATCTTTGCCCCACATTTTCCTTACATGAACCCTGAAGTATTTTCAGCACTCTGGAGACCGTCTTTTGAGAGTTACTCTAGGCTGTCTTCCCAGTGTTGGCCGCACTGAAAAGCTCCTTTCTCGTTTCACCACCACTCGTTTCTCTGCCTTTGTATTTTGTTAGTGGTGAGTGGTCAAACCTGGTCCATTTGGGACTCCCGGCGCCAGGTGCTCATGGACCCTGGGGCCCAAGTTACAAACTTAATAAGTGATAACAAAGGACTTCCCTAATCTAAACCCGATTTGCTGTAATTCTTCAAATTGTCTGATTCTTTGCAACAGGCCCACAGAAGGTATCACCCTCTTCTGCAGTTGTACTCAACAACAGGTAAAAGTTTGGGTTAACCTTCTGAAAAATCAGATGAGCCCCTCTATCATTTCTCTGCACATAAATTCCAGAGACCAAAGACATAAATACGAAAAACCAAAACCACAAAGACTAGAAGAAAATGGCAGAAGGTCATTTTTATAATTTCATAGTGGAGAACTCCCTACGTGATATGAAACCTAGAGGCTATTAAAGAACAGATGCAGGGCCTCAGGATGGCTGGGCTAGTTAAACCACTGCCTTCGGCTCAGGTCATGATCCTGGCATCCCGGGATCGAGTCCCAGATCGGGCTCCCAGCTCCACGGGGAGTCTGCTTCTCTCTGACCTTCTCCCCTCTCATGCTCTCCCTCTCTCTCTCTCAAATAAATAAAATCTTAAAAAAAGAATTAAAAAAAAAAAAACAGATGGACAAATACTACTACACAATAATTTCCATATACCAAAGAGATGCTAAAAACTCCCTCCTCCCTACTGCCCCCACCAGAAGAGAGACAGGCAAACCGGGAAAAACATACAGCAATACATACAACAAAGAGCTGACAACTCAGATTTCCTCTTCTTCACCTCATAGAGCTACTATCAGCCCTGTCTCCTAAATGTCTCACCCATCCGTCTAGGCCTCTCCATTTCCAGGGGTGCCACCGCTATCACCCAGACCCCTCACCCATGGTGTCCCCGTACCCACCCCTACCCATTCTCCAGAGTAGCTAGTGGTTTACATACTTTAACAGACACCTATGCCCACTGATTTATAACAGAGAATATTCCTTTTCCTAACCATAATGGTTAAATCAAATATTTAAATGTATGTACTCCCTTACTGGCATTAAAGGACCTGGAATGCAAATTCATAATCAGAAGACTGCCCAAGCATTACAGAAAGAAAGAAAGCAGAAGTGAATACTCCCCCACAAAAAAAGAAAATCGCTTTTATTCCTCAATTACAAAGTGTTTATTGCAAGACCTTAAGATACAACACATTTGAAAGAAGTAAACAATCACCTTCATCTCACCATCTGAGACTGACCTGATGGTTTACGCCTTCATACGTACACTCACACGCAAACAGGGCATATATTTACATTTTTGTACGTTTTAACATAATCCATTTCCACATTTTTGCTTATCTCCACCCCTCCAAATAGTCAGTATTTCCAGCTGGTATGTATCTTTTCACAACTTTCTCGTAGTAAAAAGTGTGTATTTCTAATGGCAACATTCAAATATTTTTTAACTGCCCACTATATACAAGACACTGTTCTAGGTGGTGAGGATAGAGACAGATGCCCTATTCTCGATCAGCTTCAGTTCTAAGAGGTAAGAGTCAGGGAGAGACACCGAACAAAAGAATTGAGTATATAAAATCTGTTAGAGGGTGATGAGTGCTTTGAAAAACAAGTAGGGAAGGGAGACAGTGCTGGGGAGGGGACTGCGATTCTACTGAGGGTGGCTGAAGAAAGCTGAAATGCACTTGTTGAAAACATAACCCTTGTTTAAAGACCTCAAAGAGGC